CCTGAAGTGAGGGAAGTGAAGAGGGCTGGCAGGGTCACAGGGTGGGAAGTGATGGCTTTAAAAAATTAAGATTTGTATGGATGTTTTATTTCCATTATTTCAGCTGTCTTTTCAAATTAATCTTGCTTGAAAAAGGGGCATCTAAAGGAAACAAGTTCCAAAATAGAGAGGAAGCTGAAACTCATGGAAGTTTTAAAAATTTAACCTCAAAATAAGACACCATGGAGAGTTGAATGGGAAAATGGTGTCTCATAGGTGACTGAAGAAAAGGTGGTATTACAAAATAGTGGAAGGCAAATGTTGTGAAGTACAAAGTACTTCAAAAAAAAAAAGGACCAATTTTCTTCTAGCCAAAAGAGTGAAAGATTCTCAAGGTTTGAAGATTAGTTGTGGATTTGAAGGTGACAGTGCAAGAACAAAGAGATTTCTCTACATTTATGAAAGAGATGGGGAAACAGTTAAGAAGCAATTTAAAAAGAATGGAATTAACACCTCCCTCTTGTCAAAAAACCTGTTTTTTTTCAATCCATTTTTCTCAGTCTTCTATAATGGAGAAAATTGACAATGGCTACAAAACCAAAATTGGTGCCCTTTTATCAGTTTGTTCCAGAACCATAAATGAGCATTCTTTGAATAAACAAGCTTCAAACTGGCCTGAGTCTTTGAAAACCTGAAGTGTTCCTCCAAATCCTTCCAAAAGTTTTCCCGTTTTTAATTTTTAATACACTAGAAAGAATTTTAAATTGTCTCATTAATAACCATAGCAGGGATGTTTAATTTTATTTATACCCACAATTGTTATTCAATTCTAATTAAAATCCAATTAACTTCAATTAAATCCAATTTATTTAAATTGAATTTAGAGACTTCCTAATTATGTCGTAAAAAGGCAAAATAGCAATAGCTATATCACCTAAACTCATATATCGCCTCCTGGTGTTTTACAACACTCCATAAATGGTTTATAGAATCGGCATATTGCCCCCAACAATCTGGGTCCTCATTTTACAGGCCTCAGAAGAAGGAAAGATTCAATCAACCTTGAGCCCATCGCAATCAAACTCCTGGCAATCAGCAGAATTAGCTTGCAATACTGCATGCTAACCACTGCACCACCATGGCTCTAATGCTTCAAAAAGTGTTTTTGAACATGGATTTCACTTTCATCTCCATTCCCTCCCCACTCTTAGGGGAAGGTTATCACCGGTTCTCCGAACTACTCAAAATTTCCGCTACCGGTTCTCCAGAACTGGTCAGAACTTGCTGAATACCACCTCTGCCACAGAGGATTTAAAGACAGACCAGAGTCTGTAAGAGTAAAAATGTTGCTGTATAGTACTATGTCGTTGTACAATGAGCTTATGCACCAGAGACAAATTTCTTGTGTGCGCAATCACACTATCATTCACACACACCATTCCATTCCATTCCACAAGTATAGTAGCAATATTTAACAATACAGTTGCTGTAGAAATGTATAAAATAACATAGGTAGACAATAGTATATAGTAAAGTGATATTATATTATAGAGGACATCATATAATGTCAATTTACTAAATAGCTAGCATAAGAGATCAAACATAGTAAGAATTTATATGTGGTTTGTATGTTTCACTTTTGTATCTTGGATATTTTTCAAAATAAAACATCTCCACAACTCTTATAGGAGACAGAAAGTTTAAATTGTCTAAAATCCATACTTTTAATGGATCTTTTGAGCTCAAGTCAATCAGACTAGGTATGGTTTAAAAAGAACCCATGACACATTGGTGGCAGTGGCGGGATCACTTCTGACTCATGGGACTCATTGAGTACTGTGTATGAAAAGAAATGTTAGCTGCTGAAAGGAAGGAATTTGGCACTCGCAAACATTGCAAAGAACAGCCAACATTCTGGATGCAGAAATCAGACTTCTCATTCTAGCCTTCAAAAGACAAGAAGGGATGAAAAGGTAGAACAGACAGAAAAAGAGCTAAATCCAGAACCTTGGCTGACTACCAGAACTGAAATACTGAGGCATCAGCAAGAGGTATTAGATTTTTTTTAAAACCTAAAGGATAGTTGAGGAATAATGTGATAATTGTGTTTGATATTTTGGAATATTTGAAACAATATAATGAAAAACAATCAGGAATCTTTCTACATGCAAATAAGGCCTTTGATTAATTGAACCTTGCAAAAACCACAAGCAGGATTAAGGATGTACCTTCTTCTGGTTTGCACTAGAAAGGCGATTTAGGCATGCATATCTAAGGTCTACAAGTTATTTGGATTATTACTCAAATGGTCCTTGCATGGGATTTTAGACAATTATAGGTAGTCCTCAATTTACAACAGTTCATTTAGTGATTATTCAGTCACAGAAGCACTGAAAAAAATGACATGATCATTTTTCATATTTATGACTTGCAGCGTCCCCATAGTCATCTGATCAAATTTCTGTCTGTGGCTTGGCCACAGACCCATATTTATGAGAGTTGAGGTGTTCCCGGGACATGTGATCCCCTGTTTTGACTTTCGGACAAGCAAAGTCAATAGGGAAGCCAGATTCATTTCACAACAGACTTACTAACTTACCAAAAGCGATTCACATGGGGCAGAAAAAGGTCATAAAGTGGGGAAAACTCAATAACTGTCTTACTTAGCAACAGAAATTTTGGGCTCAATTGCAGACATACACGGAGGACAACACAGATTTCTGTGAAACCACTTCTCACACTTCCCTTTATTGATATGGTTTTTCCCCTGTGTGGATCCTTTTATGTGTGGTAAGAGCGTATTTCCTACTAAAGCTCTTTCCACACTCCATGCATTGATATGGCTTCTCTCCTGTGTGGATCCTCTTGTGGCTATGAAGACTACTGCTATGAGTAAAGATCTTCCCACATTCCTCACATTGATATGGTTTCTCTTTTGTGTGAATCCTCTTGTGGGAATTAAGATTACTGCCACAAGTAAAGGTCTTTCCACACTCTATGCACTGATATGGTCTTTCCCCTGTGTGGGTCCTTTTATGGGCGGCAAGAGCACAATTCCACCTAAAGCCCTTTCCACATTCTACACATTTATGTGGCTTCTCTCCTGAGTGGATCTTCTTGTGGGAATCAAGATGTCTGCTGCAACTAAAGCTCTTTCCACACTCCATGCATTTATAAGGTCTTTCTTTTTTGTGATTCCTTTGATGTCTTATAAGAGAGTCATAATAACAGAAAGTCTTTCTACACTCCATGCATTGATATGGCTTCTCCTCTGTATGGATAGTTTTATGGTGAATCAGAGCATACTTCGTACTAAAGCTCTTTCTGCACTCCATGCACTGATATGACTTCTTTGGTGTGTGGGTTTTCTTGTGGGAATTAAGACTACTGGTACAAGTAAAGACCTTTCCACACTCCTCACATTGATATGGTTTCTCTTTTGTGTGGATCCTCTTGTGGGAATTAAGACTACTGGTACAAGTAAAGGTTTTTCTACAATCCATGCATTGATATGGTCTTTCTCCTTTGTGAATCCTTTGATGGATTATAAGAGAACGATTATAACAGAAGGTCTTTCCACACTCCACACAATGATATGGCTTCTCTATTATGTGGATCATCTTATGAGTGTTAAGATGACTGGTACAAGTAAAGCTCTTTCCACACTCCATGCATTTATAAGGTCTTTCTCCTTTGTGATTCATTTGATGCCTTATATAAGATTTAGAATAACGGAAGGTGTTTCCGCACTCCATGCATTCATAGGGTTTCTCTCCTGTGTGGATCCTCTTATGGGAGGCAAGATGACTACTACTACTAAAAGCCTTTCCACACTCCATGCATTTGTAAGGTCTTTCTCCTTTGTGATTCCTTTGATGGATTATAAGAGAGCTATAATAAGAAAAGGTCTTTTCACATTCCTTGCATTGATGTGGCTTCTCTCCTGTGTGGATCCTCTTATGGGAATTAAGACGGCTGTTACAAGGAAAGGTTTTTCCACACTCCATGCATTGATATGGTTTCTCTCCTGTGTGGATCCTCTTATGGGAATTGAGACTACTACTGCAAGTAAAGGCCTTTCCACACTCCATGCATTTATACGGCCTTTCTCCTTTGTGATTCCTTTGATGGATTATAAAAGAGTTATGATAAGAGAAAGTCTTTCGACATTCCATGCATTGATATAACTTATCCTCTGTATGGATAGTTTTATGCTGAATCAGCACGTTTTTCCTACTAAACGTCTTTCCACACTCCATGCATTGATAAGGCTTCTCTCCTGTGTGGATCCTCTTATGGGAATGGAGACTACTGCTATGAGTAAAGGTCTTTCCACACTCTATGCATTGATATTGCTTCCCTTTCCCCTCTTTCGAATGGATCGCTTGGCATTCCTCCTTACAATTCGTATTCTTCTGCCCATTATAGCCTTAAAAGTAAAAATAAAAACTGTAGCAAAACATAGGAGAACAACCAAAACTTTCTTCTGAAATTTAGCCAAAGAATCATCAATATATTTTGGCTGCTTTACTGGCAAACATGATGATTTCAAACTATGACTTTAGCAAGGACCCATTTTCAAGAGTATCCCTACTGATCCTCATATAACCAGATTGGATCACATCACAATGAATCTAAGACACAACCTAATCTTTGGTCTGGAACTATTTCATGGGGCCACAAACCCCTGAAGTCCATTGGACACAGTATCATGCTGGGTCAACAATATACCTACCAGCTGCCCAACTTCATTGGAAGTCTCATCCCCACTTGTCTGCAGGGCAGAATCTTTGAAAGCCAAGGGAGATTTCTGGATGGCAATATCTCCCCACCCTCAATTAGGCTGATGCCAAACTTGGTACACAAGTGGGCACATCTCAGAGAAGGGACATCCCACTCTGAACCTATCCAGTCTTGGTTATACTAGCTCAGGGCCATCGGAAACCTAGAGATCAGATTCAGGAGTAGGTAGAATCTTGCTCAAGAGAGGCACACCATCCCTGCAGCCTGTCTCTCAGTTTCTTGCTAATATCTTCTGAAGCATGGAGATGATTATTTTGTAATTTATGACCAGAAAGCATTAAGAAAACACATTTCCTTTACGTAAAGAGAGAGGCTATGCAGTATTCTAAGTTTTCTTTCAATAAATTTCCTTCTTCCATGAAGTCAGTTTGGTCAAAGTGTTAAGGCACACGGTTAGAAACTAGGTCAGTGAGTTCTACCTCAGCATTAGGGATGAATGCTGGCTGGGTGACTTTGGGCCAGTCCCCCACAGCTCAACCCAGGATTGCTGATGTAGGGAAACAGCAGGAGGAAGGAATATTGAATTTGTCCACTGTTCTTTACAAAAAATAAAGGCAGGATATAAATAAGTGATCTTTTAATCACTTATTTCAATTAATCTATTTTTAATAACATCTAAGTACCCCTTCCCATGACTTTTCTGTTTCTGAACACATATAAGGATTCTTACCCAGAGAGGACAGATTCCTGGAATTCTCCAGCATGACTTCTCTGTGGAGCGCTTTTTGGTTAGCATCCAGTTGAGACCACTCCTCCTTGGAGAAATACACGGCCACGTCCTCAAAAGACACACCACCCTGAACAACGAAACAAGTTTTCCTTTTAACAGATAATCCCAATTCAAGGAGAGAGATCCAGTGAACCAAATGGGCATCTTCTGCAGAGTTCAGCATGAGATCTCACTGCTTTTGACTAACCGTACAACTGAAGCACATTTGATCGTGTTGGAAGTCTGGAATGCCCTTCAGTGTAGGCAACTAAAATAGTTTTCTTGGTCAATTGGATCTTTTTGGGTCTTAAATTCACTAGTTATCAGTGGCTCCAGTTCTTCCTAGGTTGGGTAATGCCAAATACTGGCAATACACACCTGACATTTTTGCCAAGGGCTTACTTTATCCACTGAGGTGCAAATGTAACCCAACTCCACACCTTCATGAAGGTGTTAGAAGAGCTTGTAACTATATATGTCTCTGGAGATTTTCAATCACCAGGTCATGGTTGTCCCAAAGATGCTTTTGAAAAGGGAACAAAAAAAAAAGCATTTTTTGTAATGGTATGTGAGAATGACACGGGGAGGAAGAGTGACATGAATGACTATTGAATGCTGACAATAGTCTGGTCAAATAAATCTGTGAAGCAGGAATGATGGAGAAAGTGGGAAAAGACCCTAAAGAAGGGAACGATGGGCTAAACTAAATATGAATTTTGAATCTAATATCATATTCATATCGCTTAGAAACAGCAATTTATTACATTGAACATTCCAACAAAATAAAACCCATCCAAGATTCATGGACCTTTTCTGATGTTTCTCCTCCTTACCTGAAGTAGTGGTTCAGCCAATCCTTCATTGCCACCATGAAGATGAACTGATTCAAAAATTTCCAAGGACAGTTTTCTACTCTCTGTGAGAAAGAAAAAAATTGTGGAAGCAGATTTGTTAGAGACATTCCAATCAAGAGGAACAGAAGAATAGGCTAAATATTGAAATCTCAGATCACATTTTCTTACCTGGAGTGGTGTCCTGGCTTTGATCTTTGTGTAAGGTCCGAAAAAGGTGTAAGAAAGATATAGAGCAATATGGCATATACAAAGATCAATAGGAATTAGATAAAATATTACAGGGGACAGAAGTAAAAATGATTACTAAAATGTATAACGATGTCTTAAGATTTCGAATGGAAGAAGAAAGAGTAAAGGAGACCATCATAATTTGGGCAAAAAAATTTCGGATATAGCATTAATTTGGAAGATTGTGGAAATTATGGGAGATAAATTGCCAATTAACATTATCAGCAGACTATAAAGAAAACTTGTATAAAATGTTCTATTACTGGCATTTACCTCTGGCAAGATTGGCTAAAATGTTCCCCAATAGATTGGCAAATTGTTGGAAGTGTGATCATGAACAGGGAACCTTTTTCCATATGTGATGGACCTGCCCTAAGGCTAAGAAATATTGGCTCAAAATCAAGAATTGGCTGGAAGAAATTACAAAACAAAAAACTGAATTGAAACTAGAGATATTTTTAATGGGTATATTAAGATATAAAATTAGCAAAAAAAAACCACCCAATATATCATACTCCATATAATAACTGCAGCAAGAATTGCCTTAGCTCAGAACTGGAAATATGATAATGATCCTTCCGATAATCCATGATAATAAAAAAGGTTTTAGAGTGCACAGAGATGGATAGGTTATTGATAGAACTGAAAGAGAGAGAGGAAACAGTACTATGAAATCTGGAACCTATTTTACAACTGACTAGAAGGTAGATGGAAAGTAGAAAAATTAAAGGTAGGAGTTATGGTAAGATATAACTATGTAAATAACTATGTAAATAACTATGTGAATGTATATAAGAACATATTAAATTGAATGTAAGAATAACAGTAACAATACTTAGTAATAATCTACACATTTAGAAATAAGTCAATGTGAATGAACACCATTACGAACACACTGTAATAAGTGGAAATATGTTTTTAATTGTGAAATATTCAATAAAGATTATTTTAAAATTATTTTTTTTAAAAAAGACCTTTTCTTACCTGGCGTGGTATCCTGGTTTTGATCTTTGTGTAAGGTCTCTCTCAACAACAGCTCTTGAGAAGATTGGAATGAATCTTGCCTCCCCTTGGGATACTCAGTCATAGCTTCCAAGGATTTCTGGATATGATGTGAGTCAAGAAACAAAGAAAGAGCACTAAGGAATTATCATACTGGACCTTTAAAGGTTTAAACTAGCAGACCCCAATGTCCATTTGCCAAAGTCGAAAGAGAATGAAAGAATTACACCAAATATATCCTTTCAAAGAAAAGTGGAAAAACTGGCCTTAGCTATTAATAATCCCAGAAAACTCTGCCAAAAAGGAACTGACAAATTCAGAAAGAATCTTTTTACAGCTGAAATGATTACATTCTCATACCTGCATCTTTTCAGACTCCTGGGCCAGAAGGAAGCCTTCGGCCAGGGCCACCGCCTGGGAAGTGGTCTCTGCTCCACACTCCCGCACCCATTTCTCCATCTCCGGGGGAAGGACAGCCAGGAATTGCTTCAGGAGCACCAAGTCCAGAATCTGAGCCTTCGTGTGTCTTTCCGGCTGCAGCCATTGACGGCAAAGGTGGTGAAGCTGACTGCAAACATCTCGGGGATTCTTCCCCTCCTGGAACTGCACTTTTTTGAAATGACAGCATTGTCCCTCTATCTTCTCTCTGGTTTCCAATCCAGCTCCAAAATGGATGGATGGATCTCCCATGTTTTACTAATCAGAAGATGTCTGGCCAAGTATCCTAGAGGCCGTTCAGCTCTCTTCCTACACAAGATACTTTGGAATCCAAGGGAACCAGGAAAGATTTCCAACTTATATATCTGAAATGGAAAACAAAGAAAACTTCCAGAAATACAGGCTGACCAACTTATTTTATTTATTTATTTATTTATTTTATTTGTCAATTGCTTACAAGATAATAGGTTTAAGTAAAAACATAGTTATGAATACATGGATACATATAAGAAAAATAAAAGAAACAATAGGACGGAGACGGTAGGCACGTTGATGCGCTTATGCATACTTATGCTATACTTAACTGAGCATCCACATAAACCCAAATAAGAAATTTTTATGAACCCAACACCTGGAAAGAGGAACGAAATCTTATTAGTTGGAAGACTAATGTATCTGTGTGTGGAAAACAATCTGTAGTAACTTTCTGCATCAACTTTGATCAAGGACTAAAAACTTTGGATATATAAATTTAAAACTTGTTTTTGTCTTTTGATTCCTACATATTTATTCAAATAATTTTGATGGCTACTTGATACATTAAAAACAACCTTTGTACAATTCAGATCAGAAATGTCTCGGGTCACAAACAGCCATTGAGATGAATGGCTATCTAAATCTATTTTATAGGTTGAACCAATCAATATTTGAACTTCTGTTGTAATGTTAGACGGCAGGACCCCATTAACCTCTTGGTATATGCAGTACAATGCAGTGAGCCATGTGCTGATCTTTACATTGGGAAAACAAAACAATCATTTCATAAACACATGGAACAATGTAGGAGAACAAACTCATCTGCACAAGATTCAGCAGCCCATCTGTTTAAAAGATAAAGGCCACTCTTCTGAAGACCTGAAAGTATGCATTTTGGACAGAGAGGACTGCTAGTTTGAAAGAGGGGTCAAAGAGGCCATTGATGTCAAAATTGAACGGCCCTTTCTCAATAGAGGGAGAGTGATAAGACATAATCTATCTCCAGTTTAAAACACAGTCTTCTCATAACTTCCAGGAAGGTTCCATACCTATTTGTACCACTCAGTGACTCTGAAATTACAGCTCCAGGTGGCCTTCTTAGGTCTAGCTAAAAGAATGCAAATGATCAGCTGAGTATAAATCCTTCCATTCCCCGCTATCCAGTCAGAGCTGAAGAACCTTCTTGGATGAGAAGTGAAATGTCTTCAAAGAAAACCCAGAAAGTCCATTTGCCTATAAAGTCTTGCCTCTCCAATCTTCCCAAGAATGCAGAACTCTTGAAACAGAAGTCGTTCTGAAAGGAGCTTTTATTGAAAAGGTTATGATAAGAAGAGGTCTAAGCAGGAACTAAATTTCCCACTTAGAAGCAGCAATTTAAAGCACTGCAAACCAAATCCCTCCCACAGAAGTAGCAATGCAGGAAACAGATATACAAATTCTCAACACACAATGCTGGAAACAGAAAGAGAAACTCCATATAGAGATCTCCCCAAGCCTCCTCCTACTACCAGAATGACACCGTCCCAATACAAATATATGGGACCTGACAGTTGCCTCTTGAAAAAGCACCTTTGGGACACCCATGACCTGGATGACTGAGAATCTCCATAGACTCTTGGTGCAAACCGCTTGTGGGTATCTGAGAAATCACAATCAACAAGCCACCATTCAATGCAAAGAGCTATTCAAAATACCCGAATCAACAAACCAGGTATGGATTAACATGATGCTTTGATGCAGGCATCTCCTGGAAAGAGGTTTCTCAAGTTTCGACTGATCCTGAATGGCTCCGACTTTTCTGGCGGTCCTAATTTTCCCCCTGGAGGTAACGCAGCGGGACCGTAGTTTCGGATTTCTTCCCTGCCTGCCCCGTGCATGCACAGGGGCGGCAGGGGAACATGGGACAAGGGGCTCCTCACTTTCCAGGACTCCGAACTTGATGAAGTTTTGCGTCACTCCAACGCATGGTCCAGCCCGTGGAAGAACAATCCCCCCTCCCACTTACTGAACTCCGGAGTCAGGTCTCGATCTCCCTCCGTGCAAGGCTTCCTCGCAGCCTCTTGGACTGCAGGAAAGGCTCGGCCTAAGGCTCGCAGCGAGGGAGGGGCGGGTCGAGAGGGAGGAGAATCGGGCACTGTAGAAAGGGCGGACGCGCTTCCACCCTTCGCTGCAAAATACCCCGCGAGGCTCTCGGATCTGGTGAAAGAGCGCATGCCCAGTTCTCTCCTGAAGCGGGTGAGGGTCGACTGCCTTTCTACCTGGGGAGCCCCCTGGTGGATCCTGCGTGCAACGCCAGGTGGACCCTGTCAGGGCATAGGACAGTTCATCATGTTCCATGTTGGCCTGGGATGATGGGCATTGGAGTAGAAAGAAAGGCTCTCTCTGACATTGCCTGACTGCAGCAGGTAGCAAATTCTAGACTTTCCTTTTTTTTAATGGGCTAAGAACGATCTGTGGACTTGTGACTATTGAGAAAACCTTGCTGGAGGCTCAAAAGGAACAGGAGCCTCTTTGAAGCCCAGATTTGTGTCATGTGGTTGTTGACAAAGTTAGCCCTGAAGTGAGGGAAGTGAAGGCTTTAAAAAATTAAGATTTCTGTGGATGTTTTATTTCCATTATTTCAGCTGCCTTTTCAAATTAATCTTGCTTGGAAAAAGGGCATCTAAAGGAAACAAGTTCCAAAATGGGGAGGAAGCTCAAACTCACAAAAGTTTTAGAAATTTTACCTCAAAACAAGGCGCCATGATGGAGATGAATGGGAGAATGGTGTCTCATAGGTGACTGGAGGAAAGGTGGAATTACAAAATGGAGGAAGGCCAATGTTGTGAAGTAAATATAAAGTTCAAATTGCATGCGGTAAAAAAGAAAAATGGCTTTGTTTTGGTTTTTCAGTAGGGAAGACAGCTGAGGAAATATGAGTAGAAAGTTGAAAGACAATGTCAGTCAATTGTTCAAAACAAAGTACCAATTTTCTTCTAGCCAAAAGAGTTAAAGATTGCCAAGGTTTGAAGAGATTAGTTGTGGATTAGAAGGTGACAGTGCGAGAACAAAGAGATTTCTCTACATTAATGAAAAAGATGAGGAAAGACTTAAGAAGCAATTTAAAAAGAATGGGATTAACACCTCCCTCTTGTCAAAAATGTGGTTCTTTTCAGCCCATTTTTCTCAGCCTTCTATAAATGGAGAAAATTGACATAATGGCTACAAAACCAAGATTGGTGCCCTTTCACCAATTTGATGCAGAACCATAAATGAGCACTATTCGAATTAACTAGCCTGAGTCTCTGAAAATCTGAAGTATTCACCCCACTCACAAATCCTTCCAAAAGTTTTCCTGTGGGTTTAATTTTTAATATATTAGAAAGAATTTAAAATTCTCACAAATAACCATACCAGTGATACTTAATTTTCTTTATATACAAAATTATTCCATTCTGATTAATATCCAATTAAATCCAATTTACTTAAATTGAATAAAGAGATTTCCTAATTATTCTCATGTCTTAGAAAGGCAAAATAGCAATAGCTGTAGCAGTTAAACATATATACTGATTCATAGTGCTTTACAGCACTCCATAAACAGTTTTCAGAATCAGCATATTGCTCCATACAATCTGGGTCCCCATTTTATCGGCCTCAGAAGAATGGAAGGTTGAGTCAACCTTGAGCCAGTTGGAATCGAACTGCTGGCAATCAGCAGAATTAGCTTGTAATACTGCATTCTAAACACTGCACCACCATGGCTCTAATGGTTAAAAAAATGTATTTGAACATGGATTTCACTTCTTATTCTGCTTTTTTGGGGAGTGGAATTCTTCACCCAGAAACTCTTTTCACATGATATTTTGATATATATATATGTAGGTCTAGGTGTGTTTGGGTCTTTTCCTGTGTAAGATTAAGAGTATCTTGGCGACGTTTCGGCGAGGTCCCATTCACCATCCTCAGGCTGGTGCTTTCGGCTTCATGCTAGTGCAAGCAGATGGAGACAGCAAGGAGCCTGGGTGTAGCTTAGCTTAACTGTTCTGTAGTAAAGTTGCTTGCTGCTGTGAAAATAAAACTGAAACTCCCCTAACAAGATAATACACAATTTGCTCTCAATAGTTGGCTGTGCGCAGCTTCCCTTTTTAAACACTGTGTTCCCAGCTGCAGCTAATGAAGAGAATAAGGGCCCTTGCCTTCCCCGTAAGCCACGCAACTCACATTGCTCCCTTCTCCATTCCTCTCTGCGTGCCCTAGGATAAAGAGGGGGGGTGAGACTGGGTCTTCCTCCGAATTCCCTCTGCCTTGCTTTACCTCTCTGCTGCTCTGCCCAGCCGGACTTTGCCCTTCCCCAGTTTCTTCCACAGCCAACAGAGCCACAGTCACACTCCCTGTCAGCTGCTCAGTCTCCCCCTCGATTCCAACAGGGCCATGACAACTATAATGCTGATCCAGCCCTCAATGAAATGGAGTTTGACACGCCTCACTTAGGACAATGAAGATTTATAGTGATGTTTTATTTCCATTATTTCAGCTGCCTTTTCAAATTCATGCCTCGGGGCAGCTAACAGCAGTTCAAAATAGCATCTGGTAGCAGCAACAATGGGAAGAATCTGGAAGAAACGATCTTGCTTGAAAAGGGGGCATCAAAAGGAAACAAGTTCCAAAATGGAGAGAAAGCTCAAACTCATGGAAGTTTTAGAAATTTTACCTCAAAACAAGGCGCCATGATGGAGAGACGAATAGGAGAATGGTGTCTCATAGGTGACTGGAGGAAAGATGGAATTACAAAATGGAGGAAGGCAAATATTGAGATTTGCCTTCAAATTCCATGAGGCAGAAAAGAAAAAAAGCTTCATTTTGGTTTTTCAGTTGAGAAGACAGCTCAAGAAAATATGAGTAGGAAGTTAAAAGACTCATCCAGACTAAACAAAATACCAATTTTCTTCTAGATAAAAGAGCTGAAGACTCCCATGGTTTGAAGAGATTAGTGTGGATTTCAATGTGACACTGCAAGAACAAAAAAGAAATTTATATTAATGAAAGAAAAAAACAGAGAAATAGAGCTAAGAAGCGATTGAAAAAGAATAACACCTCTCTCTTGCCCAAAGCCTGGTTCTTTTGAGCCCATTTTTCAGTCTTCTACAAAACCAATGTCACAAAAAAGTGACACAGTTGCTACAAAACTAAAATTGGTGCCCTTTCAACAGTTTGATACAGAAATGTAACTGAGCAGTATTTGAATAAATAGCTTCAAAGCAGCCTGAGTCTCTGAAAACCTGAAGTATTCCCCCCCCGCAAATCCTCCCAAAAGTTTTCCTGTCTGTTTTATTTTTAATTCATTAAAAAGAATTTTTAAAAATGTCTCATAGACAACCATACCATACCAATGATATTTTACTCATATCCAAAATTAATTTTATTCCATTCTAATTAAAATCCAATTAATTTCAATTAAACCCAATGTATTTAAATTGAATTTAGAGATTTCCTTATCATGTCATAGAAAGACAAAAATAGCAATAGCCATAGCACTTAAACTTATATACCGCTTCATAGTGCTTTACAGCACAGGTTGCCAACCTTTTGGACCTCAGGGACCACCAAACTCATAATTTTAGATCCCAGGGACCACTAACTGGTTTGGTGGGTGTGGTCTATTTGTGGGTGTGGCTTGGTAGTCATGACTGTCTGAGCATGGCTTGTATGTAAATATAAATATTTATATAAATATTGAATTTTTATTTTTTTAAAAGAGCAACATTTACCCAAAAGCAGGCAAAGCAGGCAGATTGAGTTGCTCACAGAATCATTTAGTGATCTATCTGCCATCGGCTAGCTCAGTCTCTCAAATTTGCTTGCCATGAGTCTGCACTGAATTGGCTTGCAAGCAAACCTTCAGTCCTAATGGAGGTTTATCTGTACTTAAAAGCAAAGCTGAAGATCTAAAGACTAGTTAGAAAGCAAGAAATCCAACCATTTCCTGCTTCCTAGCTAATCTAAATCTCCCGGCACAGCAGAACAGATGATGGTCAGAAAAAGGAAAAATAGAAATTTAGCAGACAAGTTTGCCGGGTAAGGAGTGAGTGTGCGGAAAGGGTTCCTGCGGGCCATGTGGGTGGCGCAGCCTTGTGTGTCTGTGCAGCCCGGATTAATTGCTTTGGGGGGGGGGACGCTCTGGGGGTGAGATTTCTTTGTGGCCCAGCAAAATTTTCTCACGGCCCACTGGTTGGCGACTGCTGCTTTACAACACTCCATTAATCAGTTTACAGAATCGGCATATTATTGCCTACAACATTCTGGGTCCTCATTTTACGGGTCTCAGAAGAGTGGAAGGTTCAATCAATCTTGAGCCAGTCAGAATTGAACTCCTGGCAGTCAGCAGAATTAGCTTGCAATACTGCATTGTAATCACTGCACCACCTTGGCTCTATTGTTTCAAAAAGTATCTTTGAACACAGATTTATCTTCTCATTCTGGTTTTTCTTATGAGAGGAATTCATCATTCTGAAATTCTTTTCACATGTTACGTTGATATATATGTGATCTTCTTCTACGGCTTTTGGTTGAATTATGTTGAATTCCCAGACAGGTAGTCTCAACTTAAAACAGTTCATCTACTACTGTTTGAAGTTAGAATGGTACTGAAAAAAGTGTCTTATGACCATTTTCCACACTTATGACTGTTGAAACATGGTCACATGACTTACATGGAGATGTTTGACAAGTCACTATATTTATGACAGTTGCAATGTTCTGGGGTCACATGATCACCTTTTGTAAACTTCTGACCAGAATCAGAAGCAAAATCAATGGAAAAGCCAGATTCCCTTAATGTTAGTAACTTAATCACTGCAACGATTCCTGAACAAACGTGGCAAGAAAAGTTGTAAAATGGAGCACAACTCACTTAACAACTGTTTCGCTTAGCAATAGGAATTTTGGGCTCAACAGCAGTAATAAACCTGTATATCTACTGAACCTCTTCCCACACTTCCTTTATTGATATGGTTTCTCCTGCATGTGGATCTTTCTATGACAAGCAAAGAGCTTTACTTTATGCAAAGCTCTTTCCACACTCATTCATATTCATGCATTCATATGGTTTTTCCACATCTACCCAGTATGGATTTTTTCATGGGAAGTGAGATCACAACTCTCTTTAAAGTCCTCTCCACATTGCACACACACACACACACACACACACACACATATATATATGGCTTCTCTCCTGCATGGATCCTTTTATGGAATTCAGATTACTGCTACAATGAAAAGTATTTTCACATTCCATGCACTGATATGGCTTCTCACCTGTGTGGATCCTCTTATGGGAATCAAGACGACTGGTACACGTAAAGGTCTTTCTACAGTCCTTACATTGATATGGTTTCTCTCCTGTATGGATCCTCTTATGGGAGGTAAGATTACTACTCTCCCTAAAAGCCTTTCCACATTCAATGCATTCATATGGCTTCTCCCCTGTGTGGTTCAAATTGTGAGAATTAAGACTACTGCTACAAGTGAAGGTCTTTCCACACTCCAGGCATTGATATGGCTTTTGTCCTGTGTGAATCTTTTTGTGGGAGGTAAGAGCAGAATTCCACTTAAAGCCCTTTCCACATTCCACACATTGATATGGCTTCTCTTCTGTGTGGATCTTTTTGTGGGAATTAAGACTACTCCTATAAGCAAAAGTCCTTCCACACACTGTACATTGATATGGTTTCTCTCCTGTGTGAATCCTTTTGTGGGAGGTAAGAGTAGAATTCCACTTAAAGCCCTTTCCACATTCCACACATTGATATGGCTTCTCTCCTGTGTGGATCTTTTTGTGGGAATTAAGATTAGTGCTACAAGTGAAGGTCTTTCCACACTCTATGCATTTATAAGGTTTTTCTCCTTTGTGATTCCTTTGATGTATTATAAGAGAATGATTGTAAAGGAAAGTTTTTTTGCACTCCACACATTGATATGGCTTCTCGTCTGTATGGATGCTTTTATGGTGAATCAGAGCATATTTACTTTTAAAGCTCTTTCCACATTCCGCACATTGATATGGTTTCTCTCCTGTGTGGATCCTCTTGTGGGAATTAAGAGTACTGCTACAAGCAAAGGTCTTTCCACATTCCATGCATTGATAAGGCTTCTCTCCTGTGTGGGTCTTTTTGTGGGAATTAAGATGACCAGTACAAGTAAAGGTCTTTCTGCACTCCATGCATTGATATGGCTTTTCTCTTGTGTGGATTCTCTTGTGACGGTTAAGATGATTGGTACACGTAAAGCTCTTTCCACACTCCTTACATTGATATGGTTTCTTTCCTGTGTGGATCCTCCTGTGGGAATAAAGACTACTGCCACATGTAAAGCTCCTTCCACACACCATGCATTGATATGGCTTCTCTCCTGTATGGATCCTTTTGTGTGAGGTAAGAGCAGAATTCCACTTAAAGCCCTTTCCACATTCCACACATTTATATGGCTTCTCTCCTGTGTGGATCCTTTTGTGGGAAGTAAGATCACTGGTGCAAGTAAAGGTCTTTCCACACTCCATGCATTGATATGGTTTCTCTCCTTTGTGGATCCTCTTGTGGGAATTAAGATTAATGCTATAAGTAAAGGTCTGTCCACACTCCATGCATTTATAAGGTCTTTCTCCTTTGTGTATTCTTTGATGTCTTATAAAAGAGTCATAATAACAGAAGGTTTTTCTGCACTTTGTGCATTGATATGGCTTCTTCTCTGTATGGATGCTTTTATGGTGAATCAGAGCATATTTACTACTAAAGCCCTTTCCACACGCCATGCATTGATATGGTTTCTCTCCTTTGTGACTCCTTTGATGCCTTATAAGTGAGTAATTATTAGAAAAGTTCTTTCCACACTCCAAGCATTGATATGACTTCTCACCTGTGTGGATCCTCTTATGGGACTTAAGATGAGTCTTACGAGTAAAGTTCTTTCCACACTCCAAGCATTTATAAAGTTGTTCTCCCTTGTGATTCCTTTCGTGACTTCTAAGAATGTGATTTTTACAGGTCTTTTCACACTCCCTCCAAGTATATGCCTTCTCTTCTGAATATATCTTTTTCTGAGAAATACGATGATCGGATTTATTAAACATCTTTCCAGATTTCATGCATTTATATGGTCTTTCTCCCGCATCGATGTTTGTACGGTTAGGAAGCCAATTGACCCGAGGAAAGCCTTTTTTAATTCTACTTTGTGATTGCTTTGTTTTATCACTCTTTGGTTGCATCTGATCTGCTTTTTCCCCTTTCTTATTCTTATTCTCTTGCCCATTAAAGCCTTCAAAAAGAAAAATGAAAATGAAATATATCAAGAATAGGAGAACAATCACATCTTTTCTTATGAAATTTAGCCAAAGAATAATCAATATATTTTGGATTCTTTGCTGGCAAATATGAAGGCTTTAGCAAACTAAGGTTTTAGCAAAGACCCATTTTCAAATGTATCTCTACTGACACTCATATAATAGGATTAGATCATATCACAATGAATCTAAGCTTTGACCTGGGACTATTTCATGGTGCCACAAACCCCTGAAGTCCATTGGACACAGTATCATGCTGGGTCAACAATATACCTACCAGCTCCCCAACTTCATTGGAAGTCTCATCCCCGCTTGTCTGCAGAGCAGAATCTTTGAAAGTGGAGGGGAATTTCTGGATGGCAATAGCTCCCCACCCTCAATTAGGCTGATGCCAAACTTGGTATACAAGTGGGCACATTTCAGAGAAGGGACATGGCACTCAAGACCCATCTAGGACCAGGTGGAGGTATGAACATCGAACCCTAGTAAGCAGAACCTTGCTCAAGAGATGATATCATCCCGATGTGTCCCTCAGATTCTTGCTAAAATCTTCTATGGCATGAAATGTTGCATTTTATTACCAGAAAAAGAAAAGCCAATTCCTTTATGTGAAAAGGCATTCTATACAGTTTTCCAATTTTTCTTTCAATAAATTTCCTTCTTCTATAAATTCAGTTTGGTGAAACAGTTAACACATCACGCTAGAAACTGAGTGACTGTGAGTACTAGTTCTGCCATAGGCATGAATGCTGGCTGGGTGACTTTGGGCCAGTCTCTCTCAGCTCAACCCATGTCACAGGGTTGTTGTTGTAGGAAAAACAGCAGGAGGAAGGAATACTGGGTTGTCCACTGCCTTTATTATTATTTACCAAAATATAAAGGCTGGATATAAATAAATAAGTGATGTTTTATCAGTAATCATAACTAAGCCCCCCACCCCATGATGTTTGCGTGTTTCTGAACAGAGATAGGGATTCTTACCCAGAGAAAACAGATTCCTGGAAATCTCCAGCATGACTTCTCCATGGAGAGCTTTTTGGCCAGCATCCAGTTGAGACCACTCCTCCTTGGAGAAATATACAGCCACGTCCTCAAAAGACACAACACCCTGAATAAGAAAACAAGTTTTCCTTTTAACAGATAATCCCAAGAATAATTTGCCAGTTTTCTTCCAATTGAAAGAGATCCAGTGAACAAAATAAGCATCTTTTGCAGAATTCATTGTGAGATCACTTGTAATAGTATATGTCAGTGATGGTAAACTTATGGCTCGTGTGCCAGAGGTGGCATGTAGAGCCCCCTCTGTAGGCAAATATGTCTTCTCCAGCTGGTCTTTGGGTTTCTGATGCTCCACACACATGCATGTTCCGGATTGGTCACTCGGCGCAGAAAAGCTTCGCTATAACTGCTGTATCTATGGAGATTCTCAGTCACCAGGTCACAGTTGTCCCAAATGCTTCTGAAAAGGCAAAAAAGTATTTTTTTGTAATGGTGTGTGGGAATAACCCTGGGAGACAGAAGGAAGAAGCCCCTATGCTGACAAAGGTCTGGTCAATGAAACCTGATGGCGAAGCAGGAGAAAAGGAGAAAGCGTCTCACAAAGGATCCCCTCAGAAGGGAGAGATAGGCTAGGCCACCTATCAGTTTTGAATGACCGGATGTCAGATTCATATTGCTTACAAACAGCAATTTATTACAATAAA